AACCACACAATCCCCATAGCCCGTTTTATATTCTCAAATATATTTCTTTGAATAATTTTTTGAAGTGAAATTGTTTTGAATTCCCATAATCTTTCTGTTGAAATTTATGAAAAAAAAAAATGATTCATGTGCTCTTCTGGATATAAAATGTAACTAGAAAAGTAAAGCAAAAATAAAATCAATTCCATGTTAGGAAAGGAAATTCAGAATTTATACATTCGATGAAGAAAGCTGGGACATAATTAATTAGCAACTATTCTTAAATTTGGATGAGCAAATGTGTTCTGTTTTGATTGTGGAACGCTCGGCTGTGGAGACGTTCTGGATCTGATGCCAATCAGCCTCCCATTTTTACTTAATTAAGTGTCATCTAGAGCTCCTGCTGGCATAAAATGGTTTCAAGTTCTCCTGTTTTTCTTTTGCTTTCTTGTCAAAATCCATTTACTAAATGGTATCAAAAACTATCTTTTAATACAGAAAATGTAGAGGTGTGGATAGGTATGCAGAACAGGATCTGTGGAAGCAGATAAACTCACCTGAATCCAAGCTCTGTCACTTTCTAGCACCTGCTCTTTGCTATTATTTCACCTTTCAAATCCTTAGTTTCCTCAAGTGCAAAACAGGTAAAAATGCTCACTTCATAATGCTGTTGTTAGGACTAAATGACATAGAGTAAGGACTTAATGAATGAATGGTGGTTCTTTTGTAATAATTATAGACTCATAGGAAATTGCACAAAGAATATGGAGACGTCCCTGTGTGCTTCGCCCAGTTTACCTCAATGGTTACTCCTTACATATAGTACAATACCAAAACCACAGAATTGATTTTGATATAATGTGGATGTATATTTTGAGGTCATTTTATCACACATGTGTATTCCTATAGTTACCACTACAATCAAGATAAAGAACTTTTCCATCACTACAAAGGTCTCTCCCTCACGCTACCCATAAAGTCACACCCACTTCTTTCCCTCACTCCCACCAACTCTAACCTCTAGCAACTACCAATCACTATAGTGATGAGTTTTCCATCGCTGTAATTTTGTATTTAAATATAAATGAGAATGTTGATGTAAATGGAATAACAGTGCATGACCTTGAGACTGGCTTTCCTTTTTCTTTCAGCATAATGAACTTGAGATTGATCTACGTGGTTGCATGTGTCAATAGTTCATTTCTTTTTATTCCTGAGTAGCACTCAATGGTATGCATATACCACAGTTCGTTTAGCAATTCACTTATTGAAAGACATTTTGGATGTCTTTGGGTTTTGGCTATTACAAGTAAAACTACTTGGGAACACCTTATACAGGTTTTTGTCTGGATATAAATTTTCAGTTCTCTGAGATAAACACCCAGGAATGTGATTGCTCAGTTTTGTGAACTTTTTATCAAATTCTCCTGTTACGAGTCACAAGATTGCAGTTGTTGCAATACAAGAGATTGCCAATAAGCTCCACCAAAGGCAAGGAGAGGAAGTTGAATAAAATCCTTGGGGAGTACATTAGTCCATTTTCTGTTATGTAGAATACCTAGAACTGGGGAATGTATACAGAAAAGAAATTTATTTCTTACAGTTATGGATGCTGAGAAGTCTCAGATTGAGGGATCACATCTGAAGAGAGCCCTTTTGCTGGTGGGGACTCTCTGCAGAGGCTTGAGGCAGCACAGGGTGTCATATGGCAAGGGGGTAAGCATGCTTACATGCTAACTCAGGTCTCTCTTCCTCATCTTATAAAGCAGCAAGTTCCCCTCCTGTGGTAATTTATTAATTCATTAATCCCTTAATGGTTTAATCCATTCGCGAGGGCAGAACCCTCATGACCCTCTCACCTCTTAATTTTAGGTCTACCTCTTAATACTGCACGGTGGAGACTGAGTTTCAACATGAGTTTTGTAGGGGACATTCAAACATAGCAGGTAGGATTGCAAAACAATTATATGTTAATCGGGATAATTAATATTAGCTACTCCAACAAACAACCCCACAATCCTAGTAGCTCGAAACAGTCATCATTTATTTCTTCCCCAGTCAATGTCCACTGTGGGTTGGGCAGCTCTGCTAAGTGACTCTCTCTCTCTACTCTGTGGCTCCACCCATTGCAGGGTTCTAACAGCTCTGCCATTTTTGCTTTTAGCTGGGTGGATGGGAGAGAAAGGAGATCCCATGAAAAATCAGTCTGGATGTTTTTGGACTCCGGCCTGCAAATGGCGTACACTGCTTTTGTTTACATTCCATTAGCTAAAACCAGTTACATCACCTCCACTAACTACAAGCAAGGTTAGGAAATGCATTCTCCCGAGAAGAGGTAATGAAGCATCTATCTGGCTAGGCTCTGTCACAGAGAAGCATTGTATCACTAGTAAGCAGCAGCTGTGAACTAGCAGAGAGACAGATATTGTGTTATTGCTATTAAAGCATTGCAAGTTGAACTTAAATTTTGTTTGAGGTAAATTCAGTAGCAATCCTTGAATCACTTTCTATGAGGATGACTGACAGAACTAAAGGCAAGGTAATACCTGTAACACAGATAACAGTGCCCACTATTTGGTAGTCACAATCATGAAGGCAGCTGATGCATACTGCGTATATTAAATGCTCCTGACTGGAAGTAGGTGATCTTTGGGAAATTCAGGAGTGAAGAGGGGATGAAGAAAGAAGAAATGGAAATGTGCCCAGACCAGACTCACTGGCCTCTCTTGACAGCTTTCAAGGATTCTGCTCATTCTACAAGATATAGCCAGGCTAAATCCAGGTTAAGCCAGGATCATCCAAGGGTCACGTCCAGCCCTCTGACTGTTTTTGTATGGCTGTGAGCTAAAGACAAGGTTTATATGTTTAAATGGTTTTTTTATAAAAAAAGTAAAAAAAGGAATATTATTTTGTGACACTGAAAATTACATGAAATGCAAATTTCATTGTCTATAAGTTTTGTCAGATCTCAACCAAATTCGTTTGTTTCCATATTATTTACGGTTGCTTTCATTCTACCCCACAGAGTTGAATAGTTACAAGAGAGACTGTATGTGGCCTACAAAGCTGAAAACATTTACCCTCTGGCCCCAGTTTGTCCACACCAAGTATAAGCCATCTGGGCCTCATAGCTTTTCAAAGTTTTGAAAATGTTATTAGGTTCATGGAAAGCCATGCCTCTTTTATGCCATCTTTATTTAATGACTTTTTCACATTGGAAAAATGCACTGTTATTTTTTAAAATCCACTTTTAACTAACCTTCATCATCTACTTGTCAGAGGAGCAGTCATCCCGAGCATTAATAATCCTACTGCTGAGCCTGCAGGGATAATGGTATTATCCTTGGAATCTACCAGCATCGACCTTAGAGTTTTCAGTCCTGAAAAAGAACTGCAACACATCCAACATTGCACCATCCCAAAATGTTACATAACTGTAGCATAGTCATAAAATGTGACTGAAAACCTTCACTATGAAAAAGACATTCCCTGGACATAAAGTGTACAGGTTTTTAACTGTATTTATAAATCGTTAGCTTTTTAAACTTGCTTGTTTCCCTTTGAACAACAAGTTCAAAAGTGTCAGAAAAAAAATACAAAGTTTTCTTTAAAGAAAAATGTTCCCATACTGGCAGTGTTGTGAAATACTTCATCTTTTAAAATAACCTCCAGAAACTCAGCTGTAACACCAAAATTGATAGAAATGAAGAAGTAGCCCTTGGGTTATTTTGATATCCTGAGAGAATTCCTGAATCTCTCTTCCTCTGATACCTTAGGAAAATTATCACATTTCATATCTCCTCAACAACTCATGAGATTTCCTTTTCCATATCTGTTTTTTTTTTTTTTTTTTTGACAGGGTTTCACTGCCATCACCCATCACCCAGGCTGGAGTGCAGTGGTGTGCTGTAGGCTCACTACAACCTTCACCTCCCAGGCTCAAGGGGTCCTCCTGCCTCAGCCTCCTAAGTAGCTGGGACTACAGGTGTGCACCAACACACCCCGCTAATTTTTGTATTTTTAGTAGAGATAGGGTTTCATCATGTTGGCCAGGTTGGTCTTGAACTCCTGACCTCAAGTGATCTGTCCACCTCAGCCTCCCAAAGTGCTGGGATTACAGGCATGAGCCACTGTGCCCAGCCTGGTTCTGTTTTAAATGTGTAGTTGACAAGAGCACTGGCTTAGAAATCAGACTGCTCCAGATTCACACTCTCCTCTGGTACTTAAGCTCTGTGACTTTGGGTAAACTACATGCTGCCCTGTGTCTCAGTTTCCTCATCTGTAAAAAGGAGGTCACACAGGGCTGACTTCAGAGAGTTACTGTAGAATCAAAGGGGGTATATCATATAAAGTCCTTACCACAGTGCCTGGCACACAGAAAACTGTCAATAATATTGTCTATGATTAGTGATTTTTGTAGACTCACTATTTTTCAACTGCATGGTTGTAAAACCCAGAAATAGTTACAGAGACAAGTAGTGACCATTATCAACAAAATATAAACCATCTGTCAGTGAATTAAACAAATTCAAACAACAAAAAAATGTCTCTCATTTAGCAAGGTACAGAGTGAAATATATCAGTTACATGGTCAGAAATATTACAGGTATTAACTTAAGCCAACATAATCATTTTGCATAATGCTGTCTTAAACTCTTAGTAAATCTTAAGATTTATATAACCACCTGATTAACTCATCTGCCCCTATTTAAGTCCTTCTCATGATGAGGAAAACACTGTCCCTTGAAGCAACCCATTATGATTTGAAACACTCTTCCTTAAACTGAACTGAGAATTGTTTCTCTAGTGCTTACAACCTTTGGATCAAATCCCACACTCTGGAGACAAATCTAATAGTGCTTACCTTTGACAGGCCTTCAAATGTTTGATAACGTCCACACTTCTCCTGAGTTAACTTCTCCAGTTCCTTTAACTCTTCATCACACCACAGGGTTTGTGGAGCCTTCATCGTCTTGGCGACGAATCCCATTGTGCTTTAAGAATAACACAACCCCCTTTAAAAAAAAAATCTCTAGACCCTGCCCTGTGGCAACTGAACAACCACCTAAATTAACCCAACTGTGCAGCTGGAGAAAAGGATTCTAAGTATGTTCTCAGAGCAAAATTCAAAGCAACTTATTTAATGTTTTCACTGGTTCTGTTCTACAGGTTAGAATAACATAACAATAATACTGAGAGGCAGCATGAGAAACTAAAACTTTAGGACTCAGTGTTTAGATAATTTAAAATTGGAGGTCTTGTTTATTTAGTCCCGCATACCTCTAAATAGATTCTGAATGTCTGAATGATACTGAACCCAGCAATTGAATGAATGTGCTTTTCTTTCCAACAGTATGTCAAGAACTGTGAAGGGTCTGAGATTTTATCCTATTTGCAAACTAACAAGTGAGCCTGCCACCGTTTTGTGGATGCTGTCAGAAGACACGAGACTCCTGGGTCAGAGCCAAGGGAGTTTATTACCAAGGCACAACAAGTAGCCTAAGCTTCATGTTCCTGTTGTTTCCATTTGCCCCTGTGTTCCATGGGTGTGAGGTGGAACAGTGTATGTGGATGGTAAGATTGCAGTGGTTTGCATTACAGCTGAGAAACCTCAGGCTTAAATATCCTTTCAATCTTTTATAACAGACTGCAAGCAAGCTTACCCAGCTTTTGCCCCAGAGGGAGACATTGTCTTTATTACCCTGTACAGTAAACAAGCCTGCCCTCTGCTTCAGAGGAAGGTACTAATCTCTGTTTTCCATGGCTGTTCTCTATGCAAGTATCCTTGAAAAGAGTCTATGACAAAAGCTGTCAAGGCCTCTGCTTGCAAGATGTGTGCAGGGCAAGAGACGCATGGAGAGTGGTCTCTCAGCACACCGTAGGGTTTTATTAGAAGGAGTACTTACTTCTCTAGAATATTAAACCAATCAGTAAGTATTTGCTGAATGTCTGCTTTGTGCTCAGCAGTTTTCTAGGTACTGTGAAGAATGAAAAGTCCATGGTCTCTTGATTCCAGGTGCTTAGAATTTATCAGGTATTACTTGACCCAAAACAATAGGAAACAATGCAAGATAAGCAAAAGCTAAACTAGGACTTACGCATTCATTCATGCAAATACATATTGCATGCCTCGTATAAACACTAGCACTTACTTAGTGCCAACAGTATGCCAGGCACTAATCTAAGCCCTTTACATTTATCAAGACAAGCATGTGAAATACCTCCTAGTACATTCCTTTTTACGGATGTGGAAATAGAGGCACAAGCATGTCGAGTAGCTTGTCCATAGTCCCACAGCTAGGAACTCTTCATCGTGCCCAGACACTGACTCCGGAGCCACAGTCTTACCCTGATCACTGAACTGCCTACCTCGTCACAGACACTTATCCAAGCTGGAGCTCTAAAGTCAGGGCAGGGACAAACCCTGTCTTCATAGAGCTAACAGCCTCAAATGGCACACTTACTAGTCGATAAGAGCTTGATGACAGGGAGAATAAAAGGGCATTTTTGACAGAAAGCCCAGTTCAGAAGTGATTGCAGAAATCAGTCCAGAAGTGTTGATGGCCTGAGCCAAGCAGGGGCAGGGGAAATGGGGAAGAGGGCACAGAAGAGGGAGAACAGAGACCTAAAGCATGAGAGAAGTGAGTAATGGGAGGTCAGAGGTGAAGAGGAGAGAAGTGTCCAGATGGACCCTGGCATCTGGACTGGGTTCTGCATGCCTGTGTCGTCTGCATGCACAGATGGCCCAAATTAATGAAACTAGGAGGAAGGGCGGTACTGGGGAAAGGACACTGATTCCATTTGGGACATGTCCAGTTTGAGGTAACTATGCAATGTCCAAGTCAAACGTCAGTTCGATCCAGAACATAGATACTAGTTGCCACCATGGAGGTGTGATTTGGCCCAAGGTGCGTGTGGAGCATGCCAAGAGTACAGAACCAACCAGACAGCAGAAATATACTCCGGGGACAGGGAGAGAGGAAGAGAGGAGTTCAAAGAAAGGAGCGATCAAGCAAGCCTGTAGTAGCCAGGGAAGCCCCTGGAGCAGGGTTTTGAGCACGCATTGGCAGGAGCAGCCTTGGTGCCATCATCCTGGAGAGTGGAGTGCACGAGGCAGTGTGGGCCAGAGAGCTCGTGCGGGCCAGAACATGCATCGTGATGGCATCATTTATAGTTCTGGGCCCTGGTAACTGGATGGGTCTTTGTTTCCTAAGTGCTCAGAAGGTGGAGATATGCGGGTTTGAAGGCAGAAGCCAGGAGATTTTCACGTATGAAGGTATTTAAAATACAGTGTGTCCCATAATAGGAACTCAGGAGGAGAGAGATATCAATGTAGGATTTAAAGAGTTGGCTCCCAGCATACATAGTTAAACTCTCTCATCCATCTTCCTTATAAAATATAGATTTGGCTCTAATGCTGAGCTCTTTCAGGGTAGTCTTGGGCGAGAGCAGTGGCTGCAGAGGGGGAGAGTGGACATCTACTTATACTGTGAGGGTCTTCTCTGGGAGCCTTGGAGCACATGTCAGATTACTTCATCCCCCTGGTCACCAGCCTGATGCCCTTGTGACTGTCAATAAGTTCATCACTCCAGGAAGGTAGATTTACACTGGCAGGAGCTGTGCTCATCCTTATGCTACCACCTTGCAGTCAGAAGGAAGTTACAGTGACTGAGCCACTGCCCAGCTTTGGGGGAGTCATGGTGCAGGAGTGGGCATTTCAGACGGAGTGAGCACGGTGAGCCTCACAGGAGCTTCTAAATTGGTAAATGTGAGAAACTCCCTTGGCAAGTGGCAGGCTGCAGATGACTTTTAAACAAGCCTCAAGAGAGGCTGAAACACTTAAGAATTGAGAGTCATTTCAGGGAGGGAAGAAGTACATCCTGACAGACAAGGCTGACCTGTTTCAGAGTCTCATCCTTGGATGACTTAGAGATGCTCTGCTGCCAACAAGCACTGAGGAATCTGATCAAGGCTGCAGGGTGCTCCAGACACTGGAGATATAGCCAGGGAGTCAGTGCTATGCACTAGAGAGGAAGAACGTGGAGTAAGTTGGAATAATGCGACATTAAAATATAACAAAGGTTTTAGAGAGGCAACAGAGACTCACGGAAAAATTTCAGGGTCTGATGTGGGGAATTACACACATCTTGGAGCTGTGCATCCTTCTCTTTGGCAGAAGGCTGAGAGTGGTCACTGAACAGTTATCTATGAAGTCACAGTTCTCCAGGAGGGTCCCCAACAACTTTTCCACGTGCTATGCCTTCTATCAGGAAGATTCTCCAGCCCACTGCTTCCTCCTGCTGTTTGTGAAAAATACCTACTCATCTTTCCACACTAAGCTCAAGAGCCCCTCTTCTCCTCCCCAGGAAGGATGATCCCTCCTTCTTTTGTGTACCCCAGTACCCCATATGTGTCTCTGGTTGAAGCTAGTATACTTGATGGGACCTTTCCATTTCCAGGTAGAATTCCTCTGGTAAATTCCAGCCCTTAAAGGACACTGACCATGTCTTATTATCTGATTCCTGAGCCCCTGTCCCAGTGCTTGGTATAAAAGAGGTACTTGGCAAATGGTGGGTGGCCACCATTCTCCAACCCCTGTTCACACCGCCTGCAGGAGAACAGAGTGCAGTGTGGGAGCCAGGACCAGAGCTGTGAGAGCTGGGGACCTAGAGCAGTTCTGGGTTTCTGGGATGGATTGGGAGGAAACTGGAGAACTCTAGAGGAGGCAGGAAGCCAGGGTGACTGTGTGGGAAGCCAGCACCTACCCAGCCAGCCCCTTGACTGTGGAAAGGACCCCTGAGAGAGGGAGTGGCCAGAGTAAACAACTGCTTCAGAGCCCAGAGGGGGAAACGGCTGGGAAGAAGGAGGTGGAACCAACTTCCTGGTGCAAAAGGTTGCTAAAGGCCTACGTGTTTTCTTTTCACTTTCCTGGATCAAAGAGAAGCTCTTGAGATAGGAAAGGTGACTGACTGAGTCAGGACCACTAGTCACCACGAATGCTTCCCTCGTCCTGCCTGAAATCCCACCAATCAGAACACCAGGAGATTGAGACGGTTGTGCAATGCGGTGCCTTGATGTTCTGGTGGTGAATCGGGTGGATGCACAGGTTCCATTCCTGGGTGTCAGGGTCGGGGATGGGGGGAGGCATTGTGTGGGAGGGCTCTTATTCCAGGGATATCACAGTCCAAGTCCAACACAAGCAGACGGAGCCTGGGTGTGCCGGCCCCAATTTGTGTGCCTTCCCGGTTTTCTCCAACTGGTTTTCTGCTCGGTGTTGGAGACGGTCCCCTAGATGCCAGGAGCTGGCCTGGCACCAGCCCCATTCTCATCATTCTTGTAAGTTCCATATGCAACCCCCGGATTACCATGAGGGTGGCTGGGCCCCATCACCAGGGGGAGGTCCGTGTCCCCTCCTGCCACCTGCTATGGCCACAGTCTTGGGCTGGCATTACACGCACCTCCATCCCTAGAACTGCGGCTTTAGGACCCAGCTTTCCTGATGACTACCAGGGGCCCAGGGACTATGGGGGAAGCAAATGTGGCCAGAAGCAGGTGGAAGGCTATAGCTTTTTTCCTTTTCCTTCTGCCTTTCTCTCCAACATGTAATGTTCGAAAATGCAGCAGCCTCAGCCTCTCTGAAGATATCCTGGGAGACCCGGTAGCCAGCTTGGGAACATACTTTCTTGTATTTACTCTCTCCCTTTCTAGGCCTCACCCTATATTTGCTCTGACACCTGCTTCCCTGGAATTTCATTTCCCAGCAGTGTTAGCTGTAAACTTGCATCTCAGGCCTTGGTCTAGGGCCTGCAGGCTCAGACCCTGGGAGCCAAGAGAAGGAGGGTCTAATAATCAAAGAAAGTACCATGGAAGAAAGGGCAAGATAGATTCTAATATTCCAAAAAGACAATGGCTTGGGCTCTCCTGGACCCTTATTCTCCAGAGGTCACATGAGACAAGTTACCTGCCTTCAGGGTGCTCCCAGTGGTATCTGGGCACAGGCCCCTGCATGCGCCATGGTTCCAGAACCTGGTGCTAGAGAAATCTCACGCTGGGAGGAGGGAGAGAGAGCTGAGTGCTCTGCTCCAGGGGCATGAGGACATGAGAGCGGGGCTCCCCCGGAAGACGGGCACAGAACTTGGCTCTTCTACTAGACTTACCTCGAGAATCCCTTTTCTTTCTTTGCAGCCTGAGCTGAATAGAAGGCCAACATGGGGAATGCAGCCGGCTCTGTCGGGGCCAGGGAGGGAGAGCCCCCACTGGTGAGGAACCCAGCAGATGTGGAGGCTCACATTAGTCAACATTTTAAGCTTTAGTTTACTCGTCTATCCAATGGAAAAGATATTCAGAGAAATTATGAAAGACTGAAATGGGCAGAAGAGATTCCTGGGAGTATTTTCAATGGCGGGCCAGGCGTTAACTGTCCCAAGAACCCTCCCGGCCTTCTAGATTCTGTAGATCATCTTTGGTGATCTCTGAGGAGGTTATTTCACAACTTGCTAGAGATAAAAGCTAATTTATACAAAAATGATAGAGATGCAACTATGTCATATGACTCTTTTTTAGGGCAATATGAATCAAATCTGTCTGGTTGAAAATGTAAGTCTTTACAAGTTAAATTCAAATTTGAACTAGTTTTTCATTTTGTCAGTTCCCTTAGTAATGAATGAGCTAAGTAAAATCTTCGCTGCATGTTCATTTTATATGAGTCATAGCGTTACCGTTTTGAAAATTATCCTTTATAATGGTAT